ATACAAGTAGCGAGGCATTGTTGTTGTCCACATCAAACTCCGCGATCTGGTTGACAAATATGCTAGTGAAAGCTGCGATCAAAGCTTGAATGTGCTGTTATTATTGTGCTATCAGAAGAGTCCTTGTTTGCAGGAGTGCAAACATCACGTTGATTGCATCGATGGTTGGCAATACCGTGTACGTGGTCATACACCACTTGTCAAATGGCATGTGCAAATCATGATGTTACTTCTCAATGTACGCGACGATGGATTAGCGGTATGTCTTGAGAAAATTGATAACGCGATCTAGAGGAACCCACAAATTGGTTTTTTTGGGCACTTAATACCAATACTGATGGTAAGGTTGTTTTGAGCACGCAGTAATACATTCAAGGAGTAGACAAACTGGATACATCCGTCCCTAGTGAATATTGCAGCACATGATTTTGCGACGATGTTGATCTGATGACGAGCGCATCATATGCGAAACACCTTGTTCTCAACATACTGGACAATACGGATTACCTGATCAAATGTCATCCTGTCATGGTATTCTCACCATCAGAAAGCATGCTGATCAAATTACAATGTCACATTGGATACAACACATCCATAAACTTGATGATCATGTTGAAAAAGTTTTGCACGAAATGACGATCTAACATCGGAACGAGGACAAGATGGAAGTTCAACAAAGCGTTGTTGTGATAAATGCGCAGACGCAAGTAAAAAAATGATTGATCTCGATGCGTGCTGCCATCTCTAGCAAGAGCAAATGCCTAGACAAACTTGTCATAGATCATGTAAGCTATATGTTGCAGAGAAGCGGCGACAACACACGAACGTATCGCTTGACGATGATATCATTCACGCTCGTCAATTTGGTGATTTTGATATGATCCTTGGTATGCTGGATGACTTGCACTACTTGACAAAATGACATGCCCATTGCTACATGATCCATAGTCAAACTGAATTGCATCAAGTACTTGATGATCACAATGTAAGACTCTGCATTGCGAGCACTATCATGCTTCTTCACAAAGAGTTTCATGTCGTTTTTTTTCTCCTTCTCTTGCTTGGGAGCAGCCTTGCGAATAGCATTTATAGGATCTTTGTCATTGTCAACATTGTTATTTGCTAGATCCTCGTTTTCACAAAAGAAGAGGTCTCAACAATACTGGGATTGATCGTCAACGTCAACGTGTCGCTGTTCAAATTCATGTATCAACGGGTAGGTGTTTGTGTCTTGACTTTTTTTATTGAAGAAATACTTCTTATATTTGCAAGATAACGAATTATAGTGTGTTCATGATTCGTCATGTTGTGTTAAATGATGACTGCGGTACTTGTGGCATAAGAATGGCGCCGCTCAATAATTGATATCCAATTGTTTCTTGTGCTTGCGTGATGAATTTGGATCAATATAGATTTTATCTCGGCCGTCAAAGTCTAGGCTTGACCACAGTCAAATTAACGGTTAATTGGTTCAAAATTTTTGGATCAATAGTGAGTGACATAGTCTAAATTTTATTAATTTTGAGGAGCTTGCTTTCGGAATAAATGATTTCAACTTTTCAATTTCACCATCATCTTGATATGTTTGTTTGATAATTTAGATTGATCTGAATGAATAAATCCATCACTCTCCTAAATGTCAATTCAGATGCCACAGAAGAACCTCGAATTATCAATGTGTTCATGACTATCATGGATAAGGTTGGAAAGTGATTCCATTGATGTTTCCACCATAATAATATGTCGGACACGAGACAATCCGGTTTTTCCGTGAGCATGAAGAAGTCGTTGACCTTGTCAGTATGTGCAGCATTTTCAATGGTAGTGTCTCCCTCTCCAGCAAATAGATCAAATACACCGGAAGTTGGAGGTGGCAGCTCATCCAAACACAAGCCGTAATGCATTGTCAAAATGAATCAAATTGGATCTTTGAATTCCATTGTTTCACAGTACGCATAATTGGATCGAGTATAAAGAAGATAAGCAATTTTGGATTCTTGACAATTCAAATTGGCACTTTATTTTAGCAACTTGAGCTTCAAGATAGCACCAGCGTGTTTAATGATCGTGATGAATCCAATTTCTAATTATCTAGAACAGATTATTATTTAAAGGTAAGAAGATGCTTGTAGCATAGGGGTTAAAAAGAGACTGAAACGTAGTCACGTTCATTGGCGGTAATAGTGCAATGTTAAGCATATTGCAAAAAAGCTTTGCATGATTTGAGAACACGTAAATCCATGTCGAATGGAACCATATTGACCAATCAATCACAAAATTTTTCAAAATCACATAGCGTTGAAAATACATCATGATACTGAAACGATTGGTCGATCATGATGAACATGAAATTTCCTATGCGTATCTACATCCAAATCTAAAATTTCAACACAGAAACATCCAACACAATAAACAATTTTGAAATCTTGACGCGTATAGCAAAGGATCCACAAACAAACTTGAGTATTTGAAGTAGCATTTGCACTTCTTTTTTGATGAATAGTGTAACATCACATATAACACAATTGATAACGAGACAAATGCATTAGATATGAAAACCGTACTCCAAATGAAAGAAGTATTGATTATTCAAATTACATTGCACAATGATTATGATCCTTAACATCTCTCCGCCACTGTCGGATGTAATGGTATTGATCTTAGACTATATGGTTTAAATCCTTCACTACAAAATAAATCCAAGTCCGACGTAGTGTAATCGTCTTTAGTTAGTTAGAACTAGAATAGAAATTACTCAAGATTGGGTAAAGTAGATGTTAGTGGAATATCTACAATGCCATGTCAGCAATCCTTGTGCTAGTTAGTGTGTTAGTTGGGAACGACATGTCATCAATCCTTGTACTTGTTAGGTAAAGATTAAATGTGCTAGTTGGGAGCGACACGTCAACAATCTGTGTATTCATTAGATATATTCGACATGACACCAATCCATTAGGGTTAGATTGTATGATGGGTATAAGATCTTATCTCCTCATACTTGTTGGTAAGAGTTATAAAAGGGAGAGTAGAACTAGTGTTAGTATCTCCCATCTGCAGAGTTTTTGTTTTCATCTTTGAGTGAGATTTATTCTAAATCCTAGTGTTACACGTAGTGTATTGATTGTGTGGAGATAAAAAGTAACAAAATTTGAGCACAACCGATTGATGTTTCCATCGTTATGGCTCCAATTTGATATTAAAAAATGCTTCAACAAAAATAATACTTATGTCAATACTAAGAAAAATCATTCATGATAATAGACTTGAAAGTACCTTGAAACTATGTTTCCACGCCGGACAATAAATGCGAAGACAAACAACCGATAGACCAGACCATCAATTGATCGATCTATCGAAGCGTTTGAAAGAAGACCGTAGAGCACATCACTCACCGCTGAAGAGCATTTGAAGAGCACTTTCTTCAAAGATGATTGCATATTGTGTCCTCCCCGTTCGATATAGGATCCTGAATCGCCTTCTCACGCACATAGTTCTCCAACTTACTCTATCACTCACACTGCCACTATCAATCTCTCTCTCAGATATATGACGCAACTTCATCTCCGCGAACTTCTTCTCAACGTTAATGTTACAATCATCAAAGCGCTGATCGTAACATTAACGTCGAGTAGGTTGAGATGACTCAATATGGTTACTAATCATATTCAGGTAGCTCAAGACAATCAGAGTTTGATTGCGGCAATGAGCTCTGCAATATGAACAAATGGATTGCCTTCATTATAAATTATGAAGCAACTCAAGGTAATCAAAGCTCGATTAGGGGATAATGCTCTGCAATCGGAGCAAAATGATGAATTCATTATTCATTATGAAGTATTTAAAGTACATTACATCAGGAAAATTGAAAATGGTTAAATGGGACCGACGGTTAACTGCAAATCCGAACTGTGCCGTGGCCAACGCTATCAAAGAAGCAGAACTTACATGAGCATGATGTGACACAACCACTTCAACGGCCTGAAAGTCTTGCTAGCTATAGATTAGCATAAGATGTTTTACCATGAGAGTTAGAGTGATAATGCAACAAAGAGAAGAGGAAAGGGAAATAGTGGATGAACGAGAACCGTTTGCGAGACGTACTTAGGGCCCCTCAGTGAGGGGAGACCTTACTTTGTACATAAGATGGACTTCGTTTTGTACAAATGTAAAGCTATTTTAGAAAGTGTACGACTAGGGCCACACCCGTTTTTACTAGGGTCACATCCGCTTTTGCTACGGCCACACCAGTCCGTGTAAGTTGCCTCCATCAAAGCCGCCGAAGGGGGTTGAAGCGGCATGGCAGTCGAAATAGATCAATAGAACGGCAGCAGCGGTATAAGCGGCAGCAACTCGGTAGATAGCGACGGCCCCGCGCCCCTCGAAGCCTCTCGACTACGCTCTCCTCTGCCTCGCGTACGAGCTCGGCTTAGCAGCTGAGTTTGAGGTGAAGCGTGCTTTGACGCGCAATCAGTTGTTTGTATGTAACGGTTGTGGCCGTAGCAAAAACGGGTGTGGCACTAGTCGTAACCTTTTAGAAAATGAAGAAATTTATGAAGACTCTAAACTTTACGCGCATCTTAGAGAATGAGATGCATATCATGCATATTTACTCTAAGATACAGAAAAAATCTAACATGCTATATTTAACATTGTGATGCTATAGCTGCAAAGTTCCATACTACCCGTTTGGTTTCTTCCCCACCGCTTCGAAGAGTCCTCCATGGTCTTCGTTATATACAAATGCACATGTAAAACAAAGAAGAGAAAGCTCATGCAGCCCTCCTCATATTCAACCGAGTCGAAGTGGAAGGGAGCAGCAAAAGTATCATGCTCTAATATCAACAACTGCAAATATTGCTCAGACTTAGCCGAAAACAGAAAAATGGAGACTGTGCGAGGATAAACGCACGAGTTTTACAGGTACCATGCAGTATGCCATGTCATGAACTACAGAGTCGTCGGTAATTGGATGAGATGGGTGAAATTGGAGGGATGGAAGGAGAGATGCTTGGCCTTGACAATGAACCGCAATGTTTGGCAAGCGGTCGGACTAGAGTGGTCCGAAGCGTTTTTCAAGGCTGACCGTGCAGACTGGCAACAATTGGGAAGTAGGATGTAAACACCTCGAGAAGATAAAGAGGAGATTGTTGCGCGGAGAATCTTCGTACTGCTGACGAAAATGCTCTCTGGGGTTTGAGACACTCGCAATCTGATCAGGCATCTTTGTGCGGCTAGGAATGAGGAGTCCTTCATCGCGGGAGTAGGACAGAATTCGGTTCACATCGAACGGTGGGTCGGTCAGAGTGTTGTGGAATGGGGCGGATGAGGATATAATTCGAGTTGAGAATTTGATGACCAGCCATTGCTTAGGGTTCAGATGCCTTAGAATTCCGATTTGCTTCTGCTTTTGAGGCACAATTGGGGGTCGGCCACGATGATTCGATTGCTGAAGTTGAAGGTAGTGCTCCTTGCGATAATCTCAGCGGTGTGCATCGGGATCGTAAGAGCGTCAAAATTTGAGGGAATTCCCGATGAAGCTCTTCCCACTAGTTCTGGATATCTCACCATCGACGAGGCCAAAGGAACGAAGATGTTCTATGTTTATTACGAAGCCCTATCTCCTCCGGGGAAGTTGTCCGAGACTCCCATAGTTTTGTGGTTGCAAGGTGGGCCTGGTTGCTCTGGGTTGCTCGGCAATTTCTTTGAGCTTGGACCCTGGGTGATTGGTGCAGATCAGCAGTTTCACCCCAACCCTGGCTCGTGGAACAGAATTTTCGGCCTCTTGTTTCTGGATAATCCGGTGGGCACAGGGTTCAGCATTGCACCGACAGAGCAAGATGTCCCACTGAACATTGAGGATGTCGGCGAAGACCTATACACCGCCTTGACAGCTTTCTACACCGAGAATCCGAGCTTCCAGACTCGGACATTGTACGCCACGGGCGAGAGCTATGCAGGTAAGTATGTGCCAGCACTGGGGTATTACTATCTTCAGCAGCAGGAGAAGGAAACCCCGGTTTTTCAATTGGGTGGTCTGGCCATAGGCAATGGTCTCACCCATCCTGTGGCTCAGATCCCCGCCTATGCTCCCGCAGCTTACTACATGGGATTGATAGACGATCGTCAACGCAGCAAGGACGAAGAGCTTGCGAAGCTCGTCGTGAAGCACATTGAAAATGGCAGATTCGATTTAGCACACGACGCACGATCTGTTCTCATGAGGGCTCTGTACGAGCAGACCGGGTTTGCAACACTGCTGGACATCAGGAGGGAGCTGGACTACTACACTTATGCCAACGGATCGAGTTGGCTCTCTCCCGTCGTGAATCGAGAATCTATCAAGAAGGCACTCGGGGCAGAGGAATCCATAACTTGGGAGGATTGTACCGATTATGTCGACTCATCGTTCCGCAACCAGACAATGCAAAGCACCAAGTTCATGGTGGAGTATGCGCTTACGAAGCTGCCCGTGTTGCTCTATCAGGGTCAGTTCGACCTTCAAGATGGAGTCGCATCGAACGAGCAGTGGATGAAGGATATCAAGTGGACCGGCATATCTGAATTCTGGAACACCGAAAGGATCGTGTGGCAGCTAGAAGGAGTGCTGGCCGGTCACGTTCGAACCTACGCCAATCTCAGTCATGTAGTGATCGTCGGAGCTGGTCATCTGGTTCCTGCGGATCAAGGCCTTAGATCACAGAAAATGGTGGAGGCTTGGATCGGAGGTAGCCTGGCGTCGTCGCCATCTCTCTCTGCATCCGCTACCCCTGTTAAAAAAAGCAAAACCAGCTGTAAGTTTCGTTAGAAGCAGTCGTCATGCAAGCTCCGTGTGTCCTCACCGTTGCCCTCAAATTCTTGTTGCGAGTTTTTTGTTGGCTGCGTAGTACACACACTCTCTTTCCTCATCACAATGTTGTTGTTTCCTCCTATCGAACCATCTCGAATCTGGAGTGTGTCGATCGGAGAACTGTGTGAAGAGTGTATATACACATTCTGTCAGTTTGGTTTCACGATTAAAACATTTGTGCCCCCTGTTTCATGATGCTGTGAGTCCCTGAGAATGTACTCCAAGGAATATCACCTCCCACAAGCTGTGTCGTGATGAGAAAGCCAGTGGTATCAAGGACTAAAAGCAGCTTGTCCATTCTTTATATGCAGGTTCTGTTGTTGATTCGTTCTCCATCCAAAGCGGCAAGAATTTGGATATGCGTGTACTCGAGGAAACACCCACATCGATATGAACCAGAATCTATTTGAATCCGAGGGGTTCGCTATCTGAGACATAAATTCCTTGCACGTCATATTGTGTAAGGATTCTTCGGTGACCATTGTGGGTTTCTCGACGAATCTGCAATATAGCTCTAGTTCTGATGATTATTCTTTGCTATCTGAAACGTAATGGCCTCCGAAATATTTCAGCAAAAGGCTTGTTTTTCAATCCACAGATCATTCCAAAAGCCCCCAGGCTCTAGTTCTACTTTTCAAAAGTTTGGGACTTGCTGTGTTCCGCATGACACGTAGATCTAGGCTTTGTCAAGCCTTGAATGATTTTGGACCAAAGATCCATCGTTTTCGGTGACTTTGAACCTTCGCCATTCGGTGCAAGTCTGTGGTAGGGACAGTGGAGCTGGGTCACAACAATCAAAAGAAACGCAGTTTTTAGAGTAGTGAAGCTGGAAAGCTCTTGGGGAACGGGAGATCATGGAAGTGCGTCCGATCCAAGTCTACAGCCTTGCCTTGAGCTTGAGCTTCACAAGAGGTATGCGTACAAGGCACGGCTAATCTATGTTTCCATATGATCGAGGTGATGGATTGGATGAAAGAGAACGGTCATACGATCTCTGATAACCGTGTCGACCAATTATTATTACAATAATCAAGAGAAGCAACTAATCTCTTCGCTCTTCAAGAGTACGTGGTGTCTGAATATGAGATTTACATTATTATTAGGCGGGGACTTCAGCACCAGTGGAAACATGACCAGAGAAAGCTTAAAGAACGAAGAACTCACGCGATGGTAAGTAAAGCCTTTGATGACACTACTTTCGTACAGTTTTTGCTTGGAAAGGTAGACCTTATCTGAGAGACGCGTGGGAAATTGTGCCAGTCCCGAATTAATGTGTATGGTATCTTTCGTGCACTACAGCTGTACCCCGGACACACAGTATTCGACTAACTAACATGCAGAGATTGCGTATGAGGACCAATACCCATTTACCCCGTCCACACTGATTGATGATATAGTCCTGTTAACTGCATGGATCTGCATCCTCGTCGGAATCCCAGGGCTGTAGGGAGTGACTCAAAACAAATGCAGACGATTTGGATCGGATCCAGAGTTTGGGATAAATGACACGCAGCTAGTCGCGCCAGCTTCGGCGTCATTCAACAAATCATTGTACTTCCATCTAGGCTAGTTCTGTCCGGAGATTGAATCTCCAGGTTTCTATCCGTCTTTTCATTTTGTATAGTGCTAATAAAGTAATGTATTGCAAGTCTCCGACAAGCGTGGAGCAAGACTCAATGATTTTTAAGCATTCAAGTCGCAGTGCTGATTGGATTTTGTCAAAGGATTGCATCAGAAGTCCTCTGCTTACTCAATCTTGCATGTTAGCTTTGAGTCGGAAACTCTGAAGATGCTACAGGAGCCAGAGAGAGGAGTACTGATGAGATAACGATATCATATGTGCAAGCGGCCTGGTGATACGTGACAGCAGTACGTTGGGGAGATTAGCAGATTGAAAGCAGACGATTGTGGCGAGTAATCGGAGTCCCGTGGGCTTGGACACACACAGAGTCCTTCGCTTATGCAAAGCCTGGATCTCAAGCCACATAGCAAAACGTCACCGAGCAGATAGATATGTGCACATGCATGTCTTACATCGATGACTTACATTGATGTCATGTGAATGAAAGGAACGCAGCTGCCCGCGGCATCCAGCTCCAGATTTTATGATAATGATACGTACCATGCTCTGATTCTCATACCTACCGGTTTGAAGTAGCACGACTCTCGCATGTCCTGTAGAGTCCAGTTTGTAATGTCCACGCTTCTTGGCAGTAGTCCTTCTCGTACACTTCTCTCTGATTCACAGACCTACAGGAGCGAAGCGGAGCTACACACCGATCCCATGTCCTCCTCGAGTCCTTGTGACCGTTCACCAAGCGTCCAACAAGGCACTGCCGATCGTCCAGTACGCAATTCCGGCGACCACCGAGTTCCTTGGCGCAAACAGCACCAAGCCATGGACGGCCAAGAATCCAGGCTAGTCAAGAGCTAGATTCGCACCTACGTATGCATAGTGCAATGAGGTGTCTCTCGGGGCTCAAGTCCAAGTCCTCCATCCGACCTCACCTGCCTACTCATTAAAAGGGTGGACAAGTCCTTTCTCAATTGGCGAACTGCAGTGCGAAGAGCCGCAATCCATCATTCCTTCTAATCCAGATTCTAGCAGTCCTGTTAGAGCGAGCGAGTCGTACTTTCACTCGGAAACAGGCACTCAAGAGTCCCCCAGGTGTCAGAGGTTGGTGATGACTCATCCCCAATTATGGCTTCCATTTGCCATCTTGGGATGGTAATCTCAGCGATGGTTGCGACGAGATCTCGTCCGAGATTTATCCACATACATACATTGCAGGGATGGTATAGAACATGGCGCTGTAATGAACATGGAACCAGCGCCCAGTTCCTGTCGGCATCAGCAGTATGAAGCAAGCTCCTCTACCCGTACCTTCTTACACTGGCCTGTCGAGCCGAGAGTTCAGAGTCCAGTGTCCAGAGTCGAGACTGCCCTGCAGTGATTATCAAGTCACAGCCGAGCGTGAACTAAGCTCAGAGCTAAACGCATGTCTTCCCGGAGCCGACCCATGATGTATACGAGAGCTCTCGTAAGATTGACGTCTAATGATCCAGGCAAGGTCTGGCAACAATGCAGTTCTCTGAGCGAATGGCTGATGGCTGATCCGTCCGTAAAAAGTCCAGGTTATTCGTATTGTGTACTTAGGTTATATTATCTCCTGGCGAGTCAATGATTTGCGCCTCAAACAATTGTGCTGGGGACTTAGGTTCATCCTCTGAAGGCTAGTACTTGCCACTGCCTGTCGCTTGCAACTGCTTGACAGAACCGTGAATTATGCCCTCTGATTGCAAACTTTCGTCAGTGTAAGACGAACTCCGTCATGAGTCCGAGTCTTAGACGTTCGTCTTGAAGGTTCATACACCTGACGGCTCAGAAGACTCTCATCAGCAGAAGCAGCAGCAGGAGCAGCAGGCCATGAAATGAGCATCTCCACATCGAGCCACCATCTCCCGCGCGCTGGTAACAAAATGAGCTACACTCGCCGTAGCGACACAGTAATTACCGCGTCTGCAAGACTGTCAAACATCTGCAGCTCGAGTAGCTCGCGATGACAGCAGATGTGGCAGTTCGAGAGCTTTCAGAGACTCAGTCTCTTGGACTGAAAAAACTCGCTCAAAGTCAATGAGCTGCTGATGATGGAGCTGCACAACAATGTGTGACTGCTCGAGGTTGTTGGTTCGCTCACGCACGTACTGCGAAATGAGTCGAGCCACAGTCGTCGAGCAGTCATCATCGACCATTTTGGGTACCTCACGTCCTCGGAATCATGATCCATCTCCATACTTGGCATACTGTATTCCCGACGAGCCGGGCATCGCTCGGCCTGCACGGTTGGCCTCTATCACCAGAATAGAAATCCCCCATAGCACAGAACACGTCTTCCTACCGCGGGAGGCGCATCCTGTACGTACTCCGGGTGGGGGGATGCGTACTGCTCGACATTCACTGCACCCGAGGAGGGTGGCGGAATGATCGACATCCGGGTTCGTTAAAGCCCGTCACCCATCCTAAAATGGTCTGGGCCCAACTTACTCGATCCTCTGCGGTGGATCGAACCGATCAGAGGTTGGCCACAAACTGGAATCAGGTCTCGTCGGAGCCGTGACGCGAGAGTGATGGACACGAAAAAGCTGCCGGCTTCATTTGCCCATCAAGTGCCCGTAGCTCGGGGACACATCGTAGAGATGGAGATGGTGTAGAGGGAGCATTCCCTTCGTGTACGGTGCAGGAATGGTGGCATTCCGCCATCTTCCTTGTGAGGGGACATTGTAGGAAGTCCCAGCCCATCGAGCCCAGAGAGAGAAGCTCTTGCTGGCGTCCAACTACCCTCTGCTCCCCGATATTCCATCGGTGCAAAAGGGTCGAAGTGATGAAGTGAGTTGCGGCCAGTTGTGTACAACAAGATTCCGGTAAGCTGGGAGACTGTGTCGGTCGAGTCCAGCAGTTTCTATCGATATCAGAAAGAAGACATGCACCCATCCATCGATCTCCCGGGCCCGAGATGTAACGCTAAAGTTGCATCGAGCATCGATCGTCGATCGACGGAGGGACGGCCGTTTCCTCCACCAGCAGCATCAGCAGGAGGAGGAGGAGGAAGAGGATTCCGAAGAGCCCGATCGCTGTCGAGGATGAGGACGAGGACGGATCTCGCTGTGGCTTGTGCCGGTTAGGGCAGTTTATGAGATTGCATTAGAGTACATCGATCGCCGCATGCAGAGCACGAGGGTGGCAGTGGCTGCAGAGTACCTGCGCGAGACGCAGCGTTCACGCTGCAGGGAGAGAGACGATTCACGGCAGCAGAGCCGCAGCTTCGCTTCCCAGTCACTGGCTGGCTGGCTGGCCCGCCCGACGCATTTACGCACCCGGTCGAAGCGCTGCGTAATCAATCCATCTCCAACTCCGTTGCGCACTTCGAGAACCCAACAGATGGGATCACATTCATTACATCACGAGAATGAAATATCCTCCCCCCCTCTCTGTACGGCCTTTCAATACTCTCACTCCCAAACAAACAAACACAAACAGATCCCGAGCTCTCGAGCTCTCGAGCTTCGGCCCTCTCACCACCATCACCACAGCGCAACTTCCAAAACACCGTCGCTCGTCCCCAAAACCAAACCCCCTAACCTCTGCCCGACCCTCTGGATCGGCTTCGGGGCCTTTCACGGGCACTGAGGACCAGGGATGGGCACGGCTCGGCTAATTGCTAGCCGGCTAATATTTTTTGTTAGCCGGCTAGCCGATAAATATTGCCACCTCTATCCGAGGCCGAAAACGAACCGTAAACTGAGACCGAAGTTAGGTTTTCGGCCGATTCTTTTCACAGATTCGGCCGAAATTATTCATTGAACCGAATATTTCGATTGATTGTATTTTCGTCCGATAGCCGATAAGCCGGCCGCTTGCCGGCTAAATTTGAGGCCCAGTTGGCTAGCCGAAAGTTAGCCAGCTACGTGCCCATCCCTACTGAGGACCGGCCAGTGACCGGGCGGAATTTGTGACGTGGCCAGAAGCGGGCGCCTGGATCCGGTCCGACGTGGCCAGCGAAGGCAAGAGTCTCCCGAGCTGAGGTGGAATCCACGTGGTGCGTAATGCTCGTATGGGGTGGTGTATTACCCGCGGAGGTATTTGCGGCCGCTTTTGCTAGACGAGGCGAGAGGAGACGGCTGCTGGGTACGGCCGTCAGGAGGTGGTTTTCGTCGGCGTTAATGTTGCTTTTCGGTTGCTGCTCTGAGAATGATTGTTTTTTCCAGAGGGCGGGGGAGGGAGAGTGAGAGGAGAAGAGGAGAGGAGAGGGCTCCATGGTACGAGAGAGTCCGTCGACGGATGCGGAAGTGAAGTCTTTCGCTTGCACACAAGGCGGCTGTAGCTGCAGTGATCGAGGGATTTTGTTTCTAGCGAGACACGGAAATTTATTGTGTCCAGTCCATCTGTGGATTCTGTTTCTAGCGTTCAGAGTAATCAATGTGTCAAAAAAGAAGTGAGCAAAGAGCCGACAAGTTAAGACGTTCTGCGCATCTGATCTGATCCCAGGCCATTCCTTCCCCACCTCCCTCGCTCACTCGCTCGCTCATTCTGCTGAATGTGGCTCCTGCTGTTGCCCAGTGTTGCGTTTGGAGCTGCTCTGACTGTTTGCGCAGTGGGTGGAGTTTTCCTCGTCCCCTGGCCGAGACCACGACCACGACCACGCGCACCCTGGCCCCGACCCAATGGGCTCTCTTGACTTGTTGGCTTCGATCGATGGCCTTCCTTCCATTCTATTCGTCGGCGCTGCCATCTTCTGCGCCTGTCCTGCAGCTGGAGCTACGCTCACTGTAGGCCCAATGAATCAGTAGCATGGCCCAGCATGCCTGCCAGTTACGTCCCATTCCTCTACCGGGGACCCCGGGGACGGCTAATCCTGCTGACATTACCGATGCCATGCCTCGGTCTTCGCTGGAGTTCTCGTGCTCCTCCTTAGGTCTCTCGAACATGCGACATTCGGTTGTAGATCCCTCGGCCCCAGCGGAGCAGGCCCGTAGTGGTGGATGGGACGAGGCATTTGCGTTAGTGGTGCAAGTGGTCGTGTTCGATGGGGCACATAGAAACAAGTACGATGGTTGACTGAAGGCAGTTTTGACCTCATCGTATACCCATACATGTGGAGTCGTTTTGATGCTGTAGCTCCCCTTGCGGCCCACCCAAGATAGAAGATAATCATCATTATGATAGTAGGTATGTGGATCAACGAATACTACAGAAAATAGTCGCATCAGAAGAAAATAGTGTCACCTCGAATCATCTTGTAGATATCTGTAGAAAATGGCAAGTTTTTGTCATCGTAAAAAGAAACAAAGTTTTCAAACACTACGCGCTTTCAAGACATTAATTGCTCTAACCATGTTTAGTTTATATCAAGATGATTATACTTTATATTCTGAACTAGAAGACATAAAAAAAGCAATAAATCTACCTAGAGCTTACACCAATACATGCATACGATGTTATCAGTTTAGGGAAATAAATGTCAATTTCCAAGTGATTTCCAATTTCCAATTTCGTCAATTTCCAAGTGAAGGATTATTCGACAATGACATTTCTATTGGATTGTAAAAGTACGATTCGCACATAATGATAATGAAAAGAAACAACAAATTTTTTGTGAAGAGTGAGAATTGTGAAACTTTATTAGAATGTTAACAAATCCAGCTGAAATTCGAACATCCAAAAGAGTGTTTTTATAATTAATCATACCACTCCACATCCTGATGATGTAAGGATTCCATGATTGTGCAGACAGAATTACAATAGAAAGTGAAATCACTGTTTGTGCCACGATACAACCACCAAGTTACAATCAAACCTTCAACAATTTTGGGTATTTTCCTCTGAAGAGAAGACCACTAACACAAGACTACCTTAGAAAAGTATATTACTCGTTGCAACACCTCACGTGAATTTCTCTGGATTCAAGATCTTAGGAAAACTACTTCCCACGGTATATACACTCCAGAACAGAGTCTGTACACGACAAAGAGAGTCCATGTCAGTCAGTCGTCGATTGGTGTACAATGCCCGTTTTATTACAGAGAAAGTACAGCCGATTCCCGTCCATTGACAGTAAATGGATGGATCCATAGATGGGGTTCGATCGATGGAAAATACACGTTGGTTTAAATCGAAGAAGTTAGAATCCTTCTCGAAAGGAGTGACAGTACTAGATACATACAATTCCAGATGAAATTGCCAACTTGCCCAGCTCAACGTGTTACGAGAGCTCATCACATGTATTATTGTTCGACTGAAGTCACCCGCAAGCATATTACGCGCTTGGATTGCTTTAGGCTTCGAGAACTTTGCTTGTCGATCGGCTCGACATACTCGAAGCTGATATTTACATGTTTTTTCTCTGATTGCCGACAACTGCTATGTGCTAAAATCTACAAGTTCATTTAACTTAGCTGGAGGCAACATTTAAGAAATCTAAAGGTTGAATGCACGTCTTTTCAGTACCTACGACTGTTGCTGCTGCTGCTGCGTGACTGAAGGATTGACTGATTCGGGAGTGTTCGGGACAAAATTGCGAGCTGTGATCGCCAGGCCTCTCGTAATTGGAGCACCGGCAACGCCCTTGAGTTTTTTCTTCTACATAGACCGAAGGCTGTCCATCCGTGTCGAAGGAACAGACTGTAACTTCCGTTTCTCAGAACTCCCAATCCCCACCAAGGATCTCTCATCCAAGAGAGACTCACTCCCATCGATGCACAATCCGCCCAACCAGACGACGACTGTGTGCATCAAACTAATAAATCCGCGACTTTCCTCCCGAGTGCGAGTCTGTAAGAAACGTGGGTCACAACTCCAGCATTTCGGCCAAAATTGGAGATTCGAAGCATGCACGCATGGCCTTACTCACTGGCAGGAAGGGATGGGGAGAGAATGAGCTGAAGGGAAGTGGACAAGGTATATCGATTACACGGCCAGGAGCTGCTCAATGCTCAATGATCGAAGATGTCACGCCATATATCAGAAAACACTTGAACGATGATCGAGTGGTACTCGGCAGAGTTGAGCGACAGATAACACTGCAACAGTTGTTCCAAATCCTCCGCCGTTTGAATGTCATTCTCCAGAATCATCTCCACCATGGATTCTCTGAAATCCTGGTACGGGTCATAGGACGCTTTCACCACTGCTACGCTGTCGGATCCCATCACCGACGTTCTCTCCTCCGGCAGCCTCGTCGGCTGTGGTTGGTGCTGTTTTTGGCTCGGCCTCGCATTGCTGTCGCGCTTCTCGGTTTCCGGGGGCGAATGTGCAGGAGACGCACTGCGATTCGCCTTCTTGCTGCTGCCATTGCTGCTCACTTCCACCTGCTGCTGCTGCTGCTGCCTTGCAGACGGCGAATTGGTCGAATTGCTCGATGGCTGCTGCTGCTGCTGCTTCTTACCGGCCACTTCCTGGCGCGGCGACGGCGACCGGCTCGTCTTCTTGCTCGCAACCGGTTCGGCGCGCGCCGACGACGGCGTCCTGGGGCTGGTGGCTCGCTTGCCGCTGTGCAGCTCCTGCCGGCGCGGTGAGCCCGACCGGCTGGACGGCTTCAGGGAGTTCACGGGCGCCGGGTCCTGCACCTTGGGCGACGCAGAGCGGCCGGCCTTCTTGACCGGCGGCTCGCGACTCGACGGCGTTTGCTTGCGAGGCGTCTTGGAGCTCGGCGTCCGCTCCTGCACGGAGAGCCGGTGCGTGCGCGGCGTCGGGCCCTCCGACTCCGACAGCTCCACGGGCGCCGACCGTCGCGACCCACCGAGCTGCAGGCTGTCGGACCGGAACGACGGGAACTCCACGTCCCAGGGCCTGACGCTGACGCTCACGCCGACGACCCCCGTCTCGAAGTCCGACTCTTCCGTCTGCGCGTTCTTGTAGAAGTCGCTGGCGTACTCGGCCAGCGGCTGCGAGAACTGCTCGAAGACCAGGCGGTCCGCCGCCGCATCATGCGGGTCGTTCGCCGACGCCTTGTAGTCGACGCGCCCCTTGGTGTGCTTCTCCACCTCGCCGATCGGCGAGTGTGACCGGGTGCTGCCGCGCGAGTGCAGATGCTCCTTGTGGATGACCGGCAGCCCGAACGACTCGTACTCTGCCCCCGAGTCCGCCCCCCGGCCCTTGACCTGCTGCTGCTTGTCGCCCTCGCTGGCCTTGCTCAGGGCGCGCAAGTTCTCCCGCGCCCAGTCCTTAGCGCTCAGGACCGTCTTGACCAGCGACGCCTCGCGCCGGCACAGCGCGGCGTGGTGGCGCTCGTCCTCCGTCAGCAGAACCTCCGCCTCCTCCGCGACGACCGTCCTGCGATCGTAGCTCCGTCGCGACCCTCCGCGGCCGCCCTGCGCGTGCTTCTCCTCCTCGGCGAATCGGCTCTGCACGCGCGCCCACCCGTCGCTGGCATTGCGCACCGTCTTGGCCAGAACCGATTCGCGTCGCAGGGTCCGCTCCTCGTCCTCCGTCAGGACCATGTCGCCCGACGCGTACCCCGCGTCCGTCACGTCCCCGTTGCCGTACTTGTTCAGCTTCTTGAGCCGGTACTGGCCGATGGCATTGTAGCCTCCCGAGCGGACCTTGAAGAAGTCCTCGTCGCTCGAGAACGACGCGTACGTGTCCTCGAACAGCCGCGTGTCCTCCGTCGCGAACCCCATCTTCCGGTCATACTGCTGCTGCTGGCGACCTTGACCGTGACCATGGTCGCTCATGTCGCGACCGAAGTCGGGGCAGGCCGAGCGGTGACACTCATGGTCGCGCGAGTCCGAGAAGTGGCCGAGGTCGGACGGCGTGTTGGGGGGCATACATCGCACGGTGTGAATCGGGGACGGCTCGCCGGCAGTGCTCTTATTGATCTCTCGGGGGCGCCGGCGGCGGGAGCTCGAGGCCGACTTCTCGGGCTCGCTCCAGTCGCGCTCACGCTCCCACTCCGTCGCGCCGTCGAGCTGCATGGACATGGTGCGCGCGCGAAGGTGGCCACGCGCCGACGCAGGCTCCGAGTCCGTGACGTCGAGCTCCGAGTCAGAGTGCGTCTCGCTGTTGAAGCTGTTGCACTTGGAGCGCTGCATGCAGCGGCCGAAGAGCGGCGGCACGGCGCGGCGCGCGCGGTCGTGGGGCATGAGCGCCAGCGACGAGTCGAAGGAGCAGCAGCCGGAGTCGGAGTTAATGGAGTTGGCGCTGCGCCGCGGGGGCGAGACCGGGCGCGACTTCATGCCGCGGCGCACCGGCGACTCGATCGGGAAGCGGATGTCGTAGCTCTTGTGGTTGACGGGGCTCGAGCAGCGCGGGCTCGAGCAGTAGCGCATGTCCCGGTCCCTATTCTGCGGGAAGGTGCGCACGGGCGACGGCGGGCTGCCGGGCGAGTCCTTGGACCCGCCCGAGAACTCCTGCAGGTCGCCGCTCCAGTCGCTGGGGCTGGTCAGCGCGCCCTTGCCCTTGAGCCGCTTGCCCGTCATGCCCTTGATCTTGCTCAGCACGCTCGGGAACATGCTGGACAGCTTGAATTTCGTCCCATTTCCCATTCTGCCCCAAATTCAAGACCAATCTTCTCGTCGTCGTCGTTGTCGTCGTCAGATTGCAAGTCCTCTCCACCCTCCTCCTCGTCTCGATCGGTGCTTCTTCTTGTCCTCTCCCTCCCCCTCCTCCCCCTTCTTCTTCCTCGCAGTTGTAGTTCTCATCACCAGCAGCAAACGGACTCGGCACTCGGATTTCTCAGCTCGCCGAATTCACCTCGCCCGCCACTCTAGATCACTGTCATCATCATCATCAACAACCTCAATCTCTAGCTACATGACGTGCGGTGACCGGGCTGCCTTTGCCGAATTCTTCACTCCGGCATCCACCTCTCGCTCCTCGTCGTTGTCTCCGCCCATCTCCCTCGCCTTCTCCACCTGATCGAATGTGTTCACGAACCCGAAGTGAGCTGCAGCCGCACCTCCCAAGAACGCACACTCTTCACGCATCCGCTGACGAATGTTCACGCCGTGAAGTACATGTCACCGGAACTTGTCACTGGCGACCAAATCTGCAGAAACGCTGAAGCATTCGTAAGTCTGTGCTCCCTCATAACTTCCCACGACTGAAGGAACACTCACTTCGTATCATCACAAGTAGTTACTAAAGCATGTGCCGAGCTACACAATGATATCTCTGGCGCAATGCTCTTGTTGTCAAATGTTCATTTAACAAACCTCGAGAAATCACCGCTAAACCAAATTCAGTGATTTCGGGAATAGACTATATTGCCAGGTTCACTGCACGTGCAACCCATACGGCAGAAAATGCCACCGATAGCATCATCAATCTTCCACCCTCGACTCTGCGCCATAATACATTACAGGGCGATGCCACCGCCGCAGAGCTTCTCGCGCAATGGAAAGTACGACAGAAGTATCATTTAAGGACCCGATCCAGAGCAGGACTAGGCGCAAGAATTAGCCCGGGTTCAGGAGAAAAACCCCATTGTGATGGAAAGCTTGGGAGAGGGCCGAGACCAATCTGTGACGCTAAACATCGTAAGATGCGTTCTCACTGACCGCCAGTTAGTTACCTGGGATCGGAATGTATACGAAATCCGAGCTGTGGAATAATCATCAGCTTCCGGACGGTGAGTCAGTCGGTCAGAGGATCGAGCTGCCTGATTCATCACAGTAAAACGGATTGCAGATGCTTATGGAACTCAAGCGTTAACGGCACTGCGATCAAATGGGAGCCATTTCACTTCCAACAGAGGAAGCAAGCGAATGCGGTTGTCTCAGAGGAAAACAGCCTCGAGGTTCTGAACCAAATGCTAATTGAGATCGAGATGTGGTGTCTCTAACGTTCGGGAATCGATTGCGCATGAGAACCGCCAGAGGAAAATGCGCTCCGAGAGCTGAGAGGCTCAAGGCGGCTCAGACTCATCGGCGCTCGCCATAGCCACCACCTCCCCATCAAATGTGTCCTGGCACTAATTCTTAGAACAACCCCCCGCTCAATTTGATTAAACCCTGCCCCAATGCCGCACCCCACCCATCCCATCCCCTTCCAGAAGTGCTCATTCGTACCGCAAGGCCTCATCAGTCAGTAGTATATCGATCAGTTGAACCCTCCCACTGATCGATAGATCAGCAGTGACGAAATACCCCGGACACCGGTCGCGCCCGTGCCGATCATTCACAGGCAAGCCCCCGACGAGCAAGTCCACTGCTCCTCACAGGGCCAGCCCTTCCTTCAGCACACGTCAATCTCTCGGAAGCAGTCGACGCGAAGCGCTGCTGCCAGTCGGCGGGCGATTCGTCATCGTTCGATCTCGCGTAAGGCACAAACTTGCATCTTTCTCCGATCAGAGCACGATCAGAAGCTGTCACTCGCCCGGACCAGCTCGGGGACTCTAGCCTGCCAGTTGACTGCCGACCGCTGACGTGGCATCGATCCTGCAGGCTGTGTGCTCTCTTTGGGCACATGAGGGGCCGTAAGGTACAGTAGTTGCAGCAGAGAGCAAGCACGCAGCAGCAGCAGTCAGAGGGGGAAGAATGAATGCTCTCTGAGCTGAGCTGAGCTTCCCCGTAGTGGAGAGGAACCACCCTCTCCTCGTCGAGCCTGGCCCGCTTCGTGTGCTGCTGAGTCCGCTGGTCATCCGTCTTGGGTCCAATCAATCGACCAACCAACTTCTGATACATTTGTTGAGCCTGGGAAGGAATGAATTCCTGTCCCTGACGAACTGGTCTGTACAGCAGCAGTGCATGACTTTGACGAGCGGCTCTAGCAGCTGCTGCGCTTAATCACAGCAAAGGGAAACAGACGGTGCAAGGACTAGGACTCCGTGCAGCAGAATTTCTGCATTCGGTCTCGAGAGGTTCCACTTTCGTTGGACAGTGCAGTGCAGATGCTTCTAAAGGTTCCTACGTTCCTGACTGAATTAGATCAAATTTGCAGTAAGAAAGTCCAGAGGAGGTTGGATTTGACTCGGGACGAAACGATGGCTGCAGATACGAGACAGCTGATCGATCAATTAGATAATGAAGGGCGCTCAGTTCTAAGACTTCGACAAGCCCAGAAACCCACTCTGCACTCACTGGCCCTCGAGAATGACAGCAGCGTGCATCCAGAAGACGACCGCCCACGTCTCGACGCTTCCTCGTAGACCCAACCCATGAAAGCTGCCAATGTCGCTCGTGATTCACACCAACGCGAAGAAGCACATGGCCCTCGTTCATACCTCGGACGCAGGACGAATCGACAAGGCCGTGCTTGGAGCGCGAGGGTGCCTCCTCAGATTACCCCACACGAGATGAAAACAGAGTTGCAGAGCGGAATCATGACACACATTGACCGCCCTCCCTCTGAATACATCTCTCATCTCTCTGCTCAACCCACCCACCCATCATCGCACGACGAGACTTCTGCAGACGATGATGATCGCAGGACCAATTCTAATTCGCACCGTCTCTCTCTCTCTCTCTCTCTCTCTCTCTCTCTCTCTCTCTCTCTCTCTCTGTCTGTGCGTGGAACTCGATCATGTTCTAATACCGAGATGGAACACGGGAGGGGAGGTGGGAAGGAACTTACATGCGCTGCCCTCCAGTTCGGGACCATCCACGAGCGGGCTGCGACTTCGACGGCATTCCTCTGCTGGCAGACAGACAGACAGACACAGACCACATTCGGATAGATGAGAACGGAGCGGAGCTATGGGAGTCGTCGAGTTCGGACAGGTGACGAGCACGCAGCTCGCTGGCTGGCAAGAGCTACTTGATCGGGAGGATGATGGAGAATCGTCGTACCCATCTAAGGACGCACGCACGCACTCACGCACGCCCACGAGCCAAATTGTGAAAGAGCGAGAGAAGGATCTGCGCAGAGAGCGGACAATCGAGAAGCCGGGTTCGCTCGGGGATTCAGGAAGCAGCACGCGAGGCAGGGAAGAGGCCGAAGGGCGAGTACAGCATTGGGAGGTCGGTCGGTCGGGCGGTCATCATCATCATCATCGGGATGCAGGAGGAGCAGCAGCAGGAGGAGGAGGATGTGGAGGATGAGGAGATGGAGATGGAGATGGGGACTACGGCGGCAAGCGTTTTACTTCAAGTAGATGCTGGACGGGCACGGATTTCGCCCGGATCTGCCATCGTCGAGCTCGTGGCGATTGTTCGAGCTTATATAGCACGCTTGGCTGTATCGCTCGGGGGTCGAGGGCGGAAGGGGTTGTTACGCCGGGTCCGAACATTCAAGGGGTTGGTTTTTGGCGGATCTGCCTCGTCCTCCTCTCCCCTGCCCCCTCCCCCACTGTCTCTACTTACCCCCTCCCCGCAAGGCGCCCCCCCTCGCTCCTCGTCGCCCTCCCGAGAAGAACTGCCGACGGACCGACCGACCGACGGACGGACGGACCGGCTGCTCCCCGCCTTCCTAACCGGCACCTGCCCGTCCGCCCGACACCTCCCCCCGCCCAACCCCAGCTCCCCCTGGTCGTCTTGTCCACTCCTCTCGACTCGCGGGAAGAGGATGTGGGATCTGTGCGCCTAATTGCAATTAGGCCCAGAATTAGTCCGAAGCCTAATTACGCACAACCGTTTTCTTAATCAAAATCATCTTAATCCAGACGACTACGACTACGACGCTGACCCATGTTCACACCCCCTCTTCCACCCCCCCCCCCCCCTCGAACGAAAGAGTGCCGGCGTTCGATGTTCCGTGTTCCTGGACTGGCCTGGCCTCGCTCGCACAATCTTTGGGCGAGTGAAGTGAAGCGGCCGTCGGAGATGAGTCGTCGAGGAGAGCACCAGCGGAGTGGTTGGGGATGCTCTTGGTTGCCGGTTCGAGTTCGTTGCGGCATGCATGCCATTCCGATGATGATGATGATGCGACGAGAGAGCCCGCAGCTGACCTGCGGCGGTCATGTCCATCTCATCTCATCTCATCTCATCTCATCTCACCTTCTCCCTCTCCCTCTCCCTCTCCTCGAGCGACAGCTTTTCGATTTTGGACTTTTGACTGGATATGGTCCGGTCAACAATTTGGTCCATCTTCTTCCTCTTCCTCTCCATCCTCTTCCTTTTCTCTTCATCTTCTCCTTCCTCTCTTCCTCCTCCTCCTTCTTTACGAGCTTCGATTACGTGATGGTCGCTTTTTCGTGTATGTATGTAAAAAGTGCCGGTGATCGAGCGAGTGGGCATGCAAAGAGATCCATGCATCGGTCCAATTCAGCATCTTCGAGTCGTCGTCGCCCATGGCATGCATTAGGCTTCCCAACAATTCTCTCTTTCGATCTTTCTGCCCAGTTTTCCTCAAAAGTCGTTTTTGATTTCTTGAGATTTGGTGTGCTCGCCTCTCTCTCTCTCCCTCGGAGGAGGACGTACTGCGACGCATGTCAGCGAGGCGATTGACCGACTGGCTGCCCCTCCTTTAAGGCGGTGGCACCTTTTTGACGAGGCGGAAAACTCCACGACCATGTCTGGCTTTAAAAGCTGGATTTTATGCAGAAAGCGGTTCCGATACCTGATGACACCGATTTCTGTCTTGCTTCGACTCTTTATTCTTCTTCGAGGTGATGGTCTCCCTGAAAAGCGCGATCTTCTGTTTGCTCACACAAATTGGACCATGCTCTCGTCCGCCGTCACCATCTTCTCGTCGAACGGCGAGCGAGCACTGGGCGTTCGAAAACTCGTTAATGGTACTTCGCGAGTGATCGATCGGTCAGCTGGAAAACATCTGGATGCCTCCTCTCTGATTGCACTTGCCCGATTCTCTTTAATTCATGCCCTTTAATTCGCCTCAGAGCCCCGACCCCCCTGCTACTGCTGCAGTTAAGCAGTCGGGGAGTGATGAATTCAGAGGCGTTCCATCAATTCTCATACGGATTGACCGACCTAGGCTCCGTCCATGGTTCCCTAGACTGTCGACTGCCAAGGTCAGTACGGTGCCCCCGGGACCTCCTCAGCCTCATTCACTCGGCCTCGCCCGCAGGAGTAGCCTCATAAAAATAGACGAGACCAGGAAGTTCGGTCACCAACAGGGGCAATCACACACATCTGGACAAGTGCTGCTTGTTTGATACCTGGATTGACAACTGTGATCATTTTTCCTATGCTTCGCTCTACGGCAGGGATGCTCTTGTCCACCGTCACGTGTTCCTGTTGCCCCCCGCCTCTCTCGTCGCAGCCTTCACCTGCAGCAGACTCCATAGAGAGAGAGCGAGTGAGGGAGTGGGTCCACTGTCCTTGGCAGAGGAGTCGACCTTCTTCCTTCCTCCGCAAAAAAGCGCAACAGCCTTCCAAAACGAGAAACTTTGATGGAGGAGGAGTCGCTTTGGAAGGCAATGAAATGAAGGCTTTCGAGATGGACGGCGAGATGATCGTCGTGGAAGATTTGGGAGAGACACAATGATGCTCGGCCTCTAATGAATGGAACTCGTAATTGTCGACGGTGGATGCAGCTCCTCAACGGGAAACACGAAAAGCAACAATGAAAGCAAGTCGGAATCGTTAGCATTGCGTCCGAGCTTGCGGAGGGAGGCCGCAGCAGCAGCAGCAGCAGCCAACGACTACGTGTAATTAGTTATGACTTGGAAAGTACTGGAGCTGCAGTCCACAATACCGGAAGCCACAGAAGCCCACAGAAGTAGGAAATCTCATCATGAAAATGATTCTCCGAGGCCTAGCCTGTCCACCGATGTGGAAGCGAAATTATTGGTGCCTACTGAGGCTAGCTGGATGTGGTGAAGGAGGTTAGGGCCATCCCAGCGGGACGTCCGAAAGAAGCAAGCAGAAAGGGGCACTGGTTCCCGGGAGCTACTACCCTGCAGCCAGAAGTGGGGGAGGGTCAAGGAGGATCATGGCCCTGGACATTCGAGGGCGATGGAAAGCGGCGAGCATGAGTGTGTCAAGGTCAGGTTTGGCAGCTCCAACCGGGTCGTTTCTACGCATGCTTAAGCATTGATAGCAAATTCTAACTACCATTAAGCCGCTCGCGTTGAATTAAGAGCTGATGACGAAATATGCTGCTCCGTTGTGAACAATATCTGTTGCTCAGCTTGGAGTCAGACTGACTCCGTTGTGTCAAAGAGAAATCCACCCTTGTTCTCACAAGCGAACCAACAGGGCTGACGGGCAGAACTGCGAAATCGTCCGAGTATCGCAGCTCCTCCTGATCGCTGAGACCATTCGTTGCAATATTCTGAGCTAAATGATCAAAAAGCCTTTACTGTTGCAACCTTTTGACTCAGGCATTGATGACATATATATCGTTGATGGTTCTATGCTCGACTATAAAGCCAAGCTCACTCATGAGTCATGTCTCTGCTGCCCCCTCCGCTATTGATGCGTTTGGATTCGATGCAGACTTCTTGTCTATTTTTTGGAATTTTGAATGTATTGAACGAGGGAAATCGCTGATACGATTCAAATCATGCAATTTGCTAGACATCACATACGTCTAAATCCGTGTCGTGCCAGAGGTTATTAATAGAGGAGGGATCGGCCTCGCCTCGAGCTGCTTCCGAGTTCAAACTGCGTAGAGTGGAAAAGAGCAAGACCAGTCCAAATTCCGAGTTCCGAGAAAATGCAGCAGAAGCAGCAGGCATTTTGGAGCTACTCTGCGGGTCAAACGGAGAGGACGTCGCAGTGAGCAGAATCTCTTGCATTCATCCGAAGGTCATGGAGGAAAAGCGAGGTGAGCATTTAGGGGAGCTCTTAAGTCTGGACGACATTCGTATGATGTATGAATGAATAAATGAATGTATGTATGTATGGCGGTGGTGGTGTGGGGTGGGGTGGTGTGGTCCAGTGCCGTAGAACTGGTATTTCGAGGTCCCTGCAGTGGCAGGCCCTGCCAGAGGGCTGAGTCATCGCGCCCAGCTCCTTCAGCTCTGCGTCCGACTGTCTCACTTTTGCGCTAAAATACCTTCCCACTCTTCCCAGAAGAGAACCAATCGGACGCCAGAGCATTCATACTTTTGGCAATAACCTCCGGAACTCATCGTCTCGCCATCTACGCAATTGGTGCACATCGACCTTGACAGGTTAGTAGTACTTGCTTCGTGCCCATGTCCAACCAAACCAAACCATGCAGTGGACAAAAAGAAACTGCTCAGCATTTTGGACGTCTGAAAGTTTGGCAGTCTCTCAGGCGGTCTGGAAGGTGTTGACCCACTTTAGCAGACCTAAAGGCTGGACCAACTCTGATTGTAAGGGGAATATAAGTCAAGAAATATTCTTGCAGTCTCCAGACAAAGAAAAGTTCAATAAAGAGTTCCTGGCTTATTGGCTCTCTCTATCTCTCCATCTCTGCTGGGCCACAGTCGGTTTTTGAATATTATATTGTTGCTCCACTCATGCCCTCGAACGAGCCGCTTCTTCCATACAGCGTACTGTATTGTACAGCACGCAGCTTGTGAGCTAAGTACAGCTGTGTATGACAATCAAAGCTTCACCTTGCCATTGTTGAAACACCGTCATCCGCCGTGGTGGTAGCCACCACGAAGTCCCTTCCATTTATCGTGTCAAGAGTCACTTACAAGCCTGGCCCCTGGCCCCTGGCCCCTTGGGTTTTGTCCTTTAGAAAAAGGAAGCTCGTTTGCGATACAAATCCAGGTCATTTTTCAGAATAGCGAAGGCAAGAGCCAGATATTCAGAGGTGAATCAGCCACCACGACGTTGTCTACAATCGAATTTCAGCGTACTTCCGACGTAGTTGAAGCTTGCCGTCAAGAAGGTACCACCTGAGGCATGCCATGTTTGTCCAGTATGGCACTCCCCGTCCTTGTGATGGATCGCAGGTTTGTTTCAGCCTCCGTCGCCTACTTCCTTCTGCTTCTGTTTCTACTTTGTCAGAGTACTGTACTGTATGTACTGTAGTTGGCTTGGCTTGGTTTGGCTTGGCTTGCAGGAGATTCTGTCGAATAAGAGTATTTTCCCCCGGATGGAGATTCTGTTGTAAAGAGAATGATGATGTACACGGCCTTTCTATGGCTTGAGAAACTAGATACGTTTGATACGTCCGATGATATGACCGAGACAATTCCATATATACAAGAATAGTACATCCAAGGCATCATAATATCATATTCTCATGATGAATTTCCATTCATAATGCGAGGCATTGAAAGCGATGCCTGATGCACGTAACAATCGAATGACTAAAGACAGGTT